TCTACAACAAGAAGCGAAGGGGGGATGGCATAGAGCACTGGTGGGGGGGGTGGCTTGAGGAGTGTGGGAGGGGTCCTCCCCCAGCCCTGTGTATGTACACATGGCGGGGAGAGGTGAGTGCTGCTTTCCCTGGGGGGAGACATTTTAAGGGTGGGTTCATCCTTCTGAAGTATGCTGGGCGGTGGGGTCATGGACCTTGTGACATCACTACAGAAAGGATGTGGACAAATTGGATAGAGTCCAGTGGAGGGCAACAAAAATGGTGAGGAGGTTGGGGGACATGGCTTATGAGGAAAGGCTAAGGGAACTGGGCTTATTTAGTCTAGAGAAGAGAAGACTGGGAGGGGATTTAATAGCAGCCTTTAACTGCCTGAAGGGGAGTTCAAAAGAGGATAGAGCTAGAACTAGATGGTTTTCAGTGGTGGCAGATGACAGAACAAGGAGTAGTGGTCACAAGTTGCAGCAGGGGCAATTTAGGTTAGATAGTAGGAAGAATTTTCTCACTAGGATGGTAGTAAAATACTGGAACAGTTTACCCAGAGAGGTTGTGGAAGTTTCATCCTTGGAGGTTTTCAAAACCTGGCCAGACAAAGCTTTGGCTGGGATGATGTAGTTGGGGATGGTCCTGCTTTGAGCAGGGGGTTGAACTAGATAACCTCCTGAGGTCCCTTCCAGCTCTAAGTTTCTATGATTCTATCTCTGAATGTGACATGGAGCCAGGAGGACAGAGCCCCAGAGCTTGGGTGGGGGGTCACACATAGAAACTGTGTTGAGGGAATGCAGGACAAATGCTGCCCTGGAGTTATTCAGCCCAGGACCAGGATTTGAAGTTTACATTTTGGGACTGTCCCACCCAATTAGGGATGGGTGGTCACTCCTGCTTTCTCTGTAGGTAGGAAGGCGTATTGAGTCGTCAGTGGTTTTGGTTAGAAGTGATATGAAAGCTCAACATGGCCCACCTATATGTCTTATCCTTTTACTTCAGATGGAAAAGAATCAGATGCCCATTTTTTTTGCTAGAGCATCTGTTGTCCATAAACAAAACTAGGAGCTTGTATGCAAGATGGTAGCATGGATGCAAAATGATTAATTTGAATAAATCATCCTAACAGAAACCGCATAAACACTTGGCCATGGGGTGTGGGAAGAGCCTATGCTAAGAAATGCAGGTTAGAGAAGGGAAGTGGCAATCTAACTGTATCTTCGGAAAACCTGAATGGAATTTTAGAGTACTTCCAAGGCCTGAAGACTTTCTCCTAGCTGAATGCCTAAGGGCAGCTGCAAACAATAGAGGTGAGAGAACTTCTCAAAAAATAAAAAGCTTATGTGTATCCTTTATAGCTGAAAATGCTAGTCAAGCCTATATACAGAGACAGAACCCCCCACTTCTTAATAGAGGAATGGAAAAACAGGCCTACTGTTCTAGTATTTGTCTTACACAGCAGTGACACTATTATTGAATATTCTTAGGTGATGGCTAAAATTTCAAATTTTTACACTTAGTGCTTATTGCTTATTATTCAATATATTTTTAATATTATAAGTGTGGCTAATTCATGTGCTAAAAAGAAAAATCAAACTCTCATGGCATAGCAGGGGAGCAGCTTTCTAATAAGACAGTTCTCACACATTCTAGAGATAGAGATTTTATTTTGGTGGAGAGTAGAGAGTGTCTGACGAACCTTGAGAAGAAAAGTGGCAGGAGTACTGAGCCCAGGCTGGCAAGAGCTCTAGTAGGGGCTCTGCCTGCAGCAGGCCCTGAGCGTCCTGAGGCCTCATGGCCTTCTGCTGGTGCTGGGCTGCCCCCATGAACACCCCACACCCCCTCACACACTCCAGCCACCCTCCTCCTCCACATGTGCCACAACCTCCCCCAGCCATCTTCCCCACACACACTCACTTCCCCATACACACTCACTGACCCCCACAAACCCCATACCCACCCACACCCCACATATCCACACACACACACCCATATGCTCCCCCACCCCACATATAAATACCCACATACCTCCAAACCACATAAACCCCCACACTGCCACACATATTCACTCCCTCACAAATCCCACATACTGCACACACCTATCTACCCCTCACAGCCCACACGCTCCCCTACATACCACATCCCCACATACTCAAACACCCACAGCCCCTGACAAACCTATTCCCACCCACCCATACCTTCTACACTCTCCCCATAATATACAAGACTAAGACTTCATTTTAAGCTATTATACAATCACCTTGATGTACACTACACAAACACAAGTAGATCAGGACAAAAATATTTTTTGAAATCAAGCTAATGAATGTTGTAGTAGGTGTCTGATTTTAGAATATAATTTGGTATTTTTCTGGTTCTGAGATGGCAAACTCCCTTGCTGAAAGGAGTACTTCTAGGTACAAGGGGAGGAACTTCTGGTGGCAAAAGTCAGGGGTTAGGGGGCAGGACTTACAGTCCCAAGATGGTGACCAGGGGCAGAGTACTTTTAAGGGGTGAGGCTATCCATGACAGCTTGCCAAAACTTGATAAGTGGCCCTCCAGCTGAAATAATTACCTGCCGCTTGATTTTAGGGTGGAAATGTCAAGAGTGCCTACATGAGTTAAGCACCCAAGTGTCATTGATTATCAATGGGAATAGGACATCTAATTCTCTTAGTCTCTTTTGATCATCTCTTATGTAAAATTATGAGCCCAAATCTGTTTTCCCCTGAAATAAGACCTTGTTCTTCTCCTGCCTTGAGTGAAAAAAGGCCCATAGGCAGTCTGGTTTTGGCAACATATTTTTAGCCACAATGGTCCTAAAACATTTGGATTATAGCACTCCTGCAGATGGAATGAGTTCAGCTTTTGTCATGTCTCTTTCCAAGCAAGTGATAAAATGTTGAGTTTTTTTTTCTTTAATCCTTGTGAAGAAGACAGAGGACCACATTTGCGGACCAAATTGCTGTTTGAAGGCCAACTGCATTGCGTGGTATTTCTGTGCTTTAAATACTGCATTATTTTATATGTGCTATTGTCCACTATTTTGTCTTCTGATATGGATCTGCCTTCATTTTTTAAATTCTTATAACCCTTTAGCTATATAAATTCTCAGGCAGGAGCAATAGTATAGTGTCTTCAAGAAAACAGACCAAGAAGGATCATGTTTCCCTGTCTCCTGGTTTATGCACGTTAGTAAGATGCTTTTACTGCTTTCTGGGTGTGGGGAAAGGTATCTTAGTTTACTGTGAAATCCCAACCTAAAACCAGGGATAACAGTTGCAAGGCATTCCCTATTATTCCTGCACTTGACAGAGAAAGTTATATCTCCATACTTGCCCAAAATACTTATGGTGTAGCATCTTTCTTCAAAAATGGCATTGGGGAAAGATGAGTGAATTACAAGTAATCTCCAACAGAAGCCCCATAATGTAATAGATTCTGAGTCAGATTTCAATTTTCTCTTTTGAATACGGTGGTTATAGAAAGTTGCTGGATGGAAAAAATATGCAGCGTCAGTGTGAGCTTTTGAATTTTGACTGGCTAATCAGCTTCAGCCCTCCATCTGAAAGGATAAGGATAAGGAGATAGTTCAGTGTCCAAGACCATTCTCTGTGACCAGAGAAATGGTTTTAGAGGGTGTCTGAAGACAGGGTTCCATGAATAGTCTCAAACTTACGTGCAAACCTGACCTTTGAATATTTGTGTTTAGCTATTATTTTGGCAGGTTGCAAAAAACTTCCCGAGGAAGCCAATAAGCAGAGGGAAACGGTAATTTTAGAAAGTTTCCATCTCTGGGATAGCTGAATGGAGTGTCATGGGACAGAAAAACTCACAGAAATTCCCAAAATGGAAGGTAAATAGAAATGTGTGAATTACACAAGCATTTGAGTTTACTTACATGTACTTAAAACAGCCTTGGTACAAATTCAGTTTGGTTCAAAAATCCCATGAAATGCATTTTCCCATGAAAATGACTAAGTCCCCTTGGCAGATTGGCATACTGTCAGTAAAAGTTGGGTTGGACTTGTACTGGATTAAAAAAAAAATTATTAACTGCAGTTGGTCCAAGTGCTGAAATAATAGTATTTTACTGAGATCTATGAAATGCCATTAAATAGTAGAAGGTCACAATTTGCTTGAAGAGCAATATTATATCTTCTTCTAGCCCCGAAGTTAAAATGAATTAACAGCAAGAGGGTTAGAGTCCACATGAACTGCTGAGAACTGACTCTTGTCTAATTAATATTAATTCACTCTTTATAAAGTGATAACAAGATTCTCCTGGCTTCTGTTGCATCTACTTTTAATTTTAAATGAACTTTAATCAGTTTGCTGAATCACCATGTCTGTTGGGCCTAAGTAAATATAACCTCTGGTATAATTGGATGGCACACCCTATTGAGACTAGTTAGGCAGATAGACTAGGAAACAGTGTGCAAACTAGTTTCCTCTCTTATCTGAGGAGATCGATTCCCAAAGGGAGCCAGAGTGACATAGATATTGCTGGTGTAGTTGATACTTTTAACCATGACATCAGTCAAAACCCAAGAAGAACGCTGTATCACAAGGAGTACATTGCTACGGAATGGGAACCCACTCAACTAAAATAGATGGTGTGCCATAACCGAAGGCTTTCTTTTGTACCGAAGTTTCTTCACTTATTCAAGAAGCATAGATTACAGACCCATTGTGCAGAGCCCGCTGTTTTTACTTGCCTGCAATATATTTCATGCAGGGCCTCTTCTTCTTTCTTTTTTTTCCCCTCTTTTCTCCATATAACACCTGTTGCTGCCTGGTGGACACAATGATCAGAGAATTCTGTAATTGTTAAGCAAAGAATTGCAGAGCGTGCTGGTGAGAAGAGGGACAAAGCAGGAAGAATCAAATCTCCGTTGGGCAGGCAGTTTTGGGAGCGTGCTCTTGCTTCAGGTTGCTTTGCAGTGTGCTGCGAGTAGGATTTTGTCAGCATAACGTGGGCCAGTCTTGAGGGCTGTCTTTTCTTCGGAGTGTCACCATGCTGCAACAAATTTTACGTGATATGTACATTGACCCTGAACTCCTGGCAGAACTGAATGAAGAGCAGAAGCAGATCCTGTTCTACAAAATGAGGGAAGAGCAGCTGAGACGCTGGAGGGAGAGGGAGGAAAAAGCACAAATGGAGGATGCGCTGTTGAAAAAGACGGCAAGACTCAAGCGAAGTAAGCTTTGCAAGGCTTTTCTGTGTTTGGGCAGGGGCTGGATGCAATGTGGAGAGGGGCATATCTAATACAGAGGGGCAAGTCTGGCTATATGGCAAAATGGAAGATATTAGTTGGAAAGAGTATTGCCAAGAGGCTAGAACTGAACCTTGGTTCAGTTTCTGATCCTGTCATTTATTTGTCATATGATTTGAACATATATATTTGAACATGTATTGCTGAAGGCTAGATCTGACTTGGCTTCCACACGTACAGGGTAGTTCTCCATGGTTCTTTCATATATCCTTCTTGAATTACCTGCTCTATTTTGGTTCCTGGTGGGTAGGAGTAAGTGGGGTTACGCAATTTCTTTCTCTCTGGAGTAAATAGGAACACCCTTGGTTCCAAAACCCTATATTCATTTACTGGCTAGATTACCTGGTGCACGGCATGTGTCGTTGCTTACAGCTGATATAAAGCAGTATTACAAGCAATATTACATACCCAGAACCAAATGCAAATGAGGCAGGATGCTAGCCAGCAATATTCCTGAAGTCATGCTTCCCTTTCTCTATGCTGTATCCAAGATCATAATCTGGTCTGTAACTTCTCTAGCATGAATTTTTTCAAATTGACTAGTAATTCTGGGTGGCAGATTTTATGGAAGTGCTGAGCACTTGCACCCAGAAAAGCATGGCTCCAGTTGTGTGCCTTCAAACTGAGTTGTTATTAAAATCTCTTGAATACAGACTTCTGTATCTGGGTTCTCTCATCTATTTATTGGATGTCATAAAGCTCATATTTCTGATAAGGATGCTGTGAATTGGTATTTGTAAATTAAGTAATGTTTGAAATGCCTTGATGGCGAGTGTTCTAGCACTTGCACAATCCCAAGTTCAGTACATTATGTACTTATATTAAGGCACGACCAAAGTAAAAGGCTTGTTCTTTTTTTATAGTACAGTTATAAACATGGATTACAAGGTTTAGCAGAGACCTTTTGTGTATTTAATAGCCCAAGAACTGTTGTTTGTGAGGTGGGCCGCACATGCCATTAGGAACTTAACACCCTGAGGGATCTTTAAAGCCATCTCTTGATTACCTCATTTACTCAGAACAAATTCAAATACTGAGACTTCTCCCATGAGCAAGGGTCTTCACAATCTGACCCTGTTGTAAAATGATTATACCTCACCAAAGTATTGTTAGAACAAAGAAGAAAAACCCTGTGAAAAGTGCAGACTATGTTTTAATCTATGGATTAGCAGCAACATAGGCTAGAATCAGCCCTATCTAGTTGCTAACATGGGATCCGAAGCATTCTTTGTTTCTTATTTTTCTATCTCTCTCATAACAGTTTTTAAATGCACCATGAAGAGCCTTCTCCTAGGTCTATCAGTTTTGCCTTTCATAGAGCCCCCAAGGCTTGTGCACTTTGATTTGTAGCTGGGAAAAAATTAAAAATGCAGTTCAGGCCTACAGACCAAAACAACATTATAGCATCAAGAGAATCTGTATTACGCTCATTCTCTGAGAAAGATAGATGCAGAAAAATTTAACTGCAAAAATATTTATATGATGATTTGTCACAGTGTTGACATCTAAATTTCCATATATAAATTATACATTAAATATATTCAGCTTCTTAGTACAGGAGACTATTTTCTGGGTAATTAATTTTCTGATTTATAAAGAATGAGAAAAAGGGGAGAAGAGCAGCAGAAGAACCTATAAGTTATATCAGCACAGACACATGTGTCAATATTCATAGTAAAGTTACCCAGAGTAAAACTACACAGTGGCTCATATTTGTGCTAGGTCCTTTCACATGCTAGTGCATATATTAATTGTTCATGTTCCCATGATTTATAACAGTCAAGGGTCTCAAATAAGAACTGGTTTCTTGTTTGGAAAATGTATTTTAGGTCATGCAAAAATATAGGAAGTACTGTGTGAAATTCTATGGTGTGTGTTATACTGGAGGTCAGGAGTGATGGGTATCCTTGGTTTTCTCTTTGCATCTATTTTTGTAGAGGTTTGTAGTCCACTCCATGGTTCCAGAGGAAAATAAAACAGGTTTTCTGTTGTCCTCATTTTGCAGTGTATATAGCAATTTAGAATGTTGTCCCTTCTTCAATTTCTTTTCAGTGCAATTGGCATCCAGGAAATTTGGAAGCACCACAACCACTTCCTCCAATTTCCGTTCACACTGAGGGATGTGGGTGGTTTTAATTGCTGCCTCTGCCAAAAAAAGTAGTCTCTGTTTCTCTGATTTTTATGTGTGGCTTTATTCTGGTATTACGCTGCAGTCAGTGGAGTTACACTGGCTTTATCTTGGTATAGATGGTAGAGAATCAAAGTCTGAAATTTTACTGTGCTGATCTATGATAAATTCTGATGCCCAAGAGCATTGTAGGAACAGGTCTTCAGTTCCCAGCTCAATGTAATCCTGATGTAGACCAGGATTACTCAAGATTCAAAATGTAAGGATCAGCCTCCACTAGCTTGATTATTTTAGATCACAGTCTAATGTGGATGTCCATTACATAAATACTGTATTGCATTATACATTGTATTATTATTTTATTATGTTACTTATGTGGAAACTAATTTGTGTAATATCTGCATTTTATCTGTATTTTACCTATAAAATCCTAATTTTTGATAGTTCAAGGATTAAAAAAAAAAGAAGGGGATAAATACTCATCAATCTTTCCTATTTTATAACAATTTAAACTTAATAGTTGCTATGTACGTAAGAAGTCTTTATAGAAAGTAGTGCCCCCAAAATGCTCTTACTGTATATGGAGGTTGTACATCTTGACCTGATAGTGATCCAAAGTCCCAGACTGGTGTCAGGGAACATAAGATCTGCCAATCAGACATGGTAGAATTTTCATATGCACCAGTTTTCAAAAGTGACTTGGAAATTAAGGCTGCTGACTTATTAGGGAACCAAGGCTGTAGAAAATTTTACCTGAAAATAATATTCTAACCATTCAGTTTGCCAGGTTCTCAGCTGATAGACATCAGAGTAGTTCTGCTAGGCATGAGTGCATGGCACTATGCAGAGGTACTCATGCTAGGCAGCTTAGATACTGGAAACATGTTAGTTAACAGCACAGCTAATATAGAACTGCCTGTGCTAATTGATCCTCTTAAGAAGCTGGTATGTAGATGTACTCTTAAAGTCAGTGACACGGTTATTAGCAGTCAATAGTAATACCACATGTTCTCTTATACATTTCTCTCCCCCCAGAATCAGCTCCCTAAAATTGGGTTTGTGTACCAAGTGGAAGAACTATTTTCTTCACTAGAAAAGAAGCACACTTAAGAATACTTTATAACATGGAAATTGGAGGCTGCTATGGTGACTGTCACTTGTCTGGCCCAAAGGAAGGGGCAGAGTCTTATGTTAACCCTTTCACAGCCATAGCAATTGTCTGTGTGCTATAGCTTGTGCTTGAAGTAGCAAGTCTGCTCCTGGTAGTATCTTAATGGAACTTGCAATGTGGAAACTACTTTTTGTTTATTGGAACATAACTAAAGAACTACTTAGAGTAAAGAACTACCAGTCTTGCTGTTGCTCTTGCAAGGGTCTGAGGCCTACCCTTGTGTGATGTTGAACTTCCACACAAGGAAGGTCCTTCCGCTTCACCTGGATTGTCTCCTTGGATGCAACACTTCCTGGACGCTTTGGTTGGATCCAGATATTCAGGCATGCAAGGAGTGGCGGAAGGTCACCTCTGTTTCTCCGCAAAAACTCTGCTCTGTGACAGTTTGGTTAAGATGGGCCCTGCAGAGGTTACACACCTTACCCTCTGTTTAGGTAACCTGAGCTGGATACATTCCTGAGGGAGGGGGGAAAACCTGCTCCCTCTGCTTATGTGACTGACATCACATATCTGGGTGAGGGGCTTGGACTCCCTGGGGAGCTAGGAACTGCCAGTCTGCCCAGCAACTAGTGATGCATTTCAAATTGGTTGGCTGACAGCCAACAGGTGCTGGCCTCCATTGGACCAGGTAAATAAGGTCATAAAGGCCATATAAGTTAAGGACTGCCCAGGAGGAGGAGGCAGCAGCCATGAGGAAGACTCAGAGAGAGAGAGAGAGGAGCTGGACCATCTGAAACTTTCTCTCTCTCTCAACACTCATGATCAAGGAACTGCCTGCCTCCAGAGGGAATCTCCACCTGCCTCTGGATGGTACTTGTGAGTAAGCTACCTGAGATCTAACTAGATATATAGCTTGCAGTAACTCAGATGCGTGATCAAAGGCTACCCAGCCGTTCTAGTTTGCTTTATGGGATTTCTCTGATATTGCTTTACCCTGTACCCTATTGCAACCCTACCCCCTGTAACCAATAAAGTTCTCCTTTGTACCTAGCATGGGAGACCTATTGGGTGTGGGTCTAGATTATGCCTTGGGGTCCCCTTGGTTCGGCTGACTAAAGGAGACCACTACTTGTGCTTCTGACTGAGAGAAGCACCTCCAAGTGCTTGAAGTGAGTCATGGATGTTTATCTTGCTGGGATCCTATGACCCCAGCTGACTTCCTGCCTTTCGGGTGGGCGGCTGGACTTGATGATCTTCTGAGGTCCCTTCCAGCCCTAATGTCTATGAAATCTATGAAGTACTCTCGAGGGCTACTAGGCCTGTGTTTCCCAGGGTGCACAGAGCTAGAATAAAGCCCAGCCCTGGGTGGTAGCAGTTTTTACCTCAGGCTAGTAGGTGTGCTCCAGGAAGGGGGTCGGTCAGACGTGAGGCGCCCCCAGGGCGGCACTTGGAGCCTGGAAGGTGGTCGGGTGCAGTGAGGTGGGTGGCTCAACGCAGGAGCAACCCCTACTGGCCTGCTACACATGGTTTGTGGTGCCATAAACCTCTTTGTGGTATCACAAATCACATGTGTTGCACATTAAACCATGTATGACACTGCTAATTTGCAGTGCTGGGGCAAAATTTGCTACCGAGATTTGCCGGTAGCAAAAAGAAAAAAAAATATTGGAAGAAAAAAGCAGTGCA